GAATACAATAAAAGATTTTTCCTGTATTAAAAAGTGAAAAGCAGAATCTGTTAAATTTAAACTGTGTGCAGAGGTCCTGGTTTACTTTATCAGAACGTTTCACAACTTTCAAAGGCCAGGAGTGGAGTTCTGCTGCTACTGCAATGCTGACAACAACTAGCATGCTAATAGTGCACCAGCATTGCGCCATAGTTCGTGGCAGATAAAAATGCTTTGTGATAAGATGCAGACAGTATACAGCGGACTCATGTTGAACCTAAGAGCTGTTTTACAATATATCTGTACTGGGGAAAGACACATTTTTACTTTGTTACATCCACAAATAATTATATCAGACCTTAAATCCACTCTATGCTGTGAACTGCATAGAAAATACTTTGAATCGACTGCAATGGTGTAACATTAGAATCTAAGTGTGTATTTTGCATATCCTCATTTAGAGTATTGGACCCAAGGACGTACTGAGCATTGTTTTATAATAAAGTCGCTCTCACTGTCATAAGGGCCCTGTATTGAGGGGCTCTCGGACAGTGCTGTTCAATGTGCTTGTGAACACTACATGGTTCTGTAAAGCTGTTATAGGCCCCCACATCACCCCAAAGGTCCAACACAGAGACCGCAACAGTGTGTGGGCAGCAAATGAAGCGTATTCAAACTCTGTGCCATCTAGTTTCTGTATAAAAATATAGTGATAGAGTTAATTATTTCTTGTCCACTCGTATCACATGTCGGTATATCCACTTTGCCTAAATAAAGGACTTTTTATTGTAAGTCAGATCTTCTTTTTCTTTCTAGTCTACTCTCCCTCTAGATCCTCGAAGAGCACCTGCGCTACTTTTTATTTGACCCAGTTATTCACTCACCCTTCATGTTTTTAATGTTATTTATTAATGGGTTGCTGTCATATTACTTTTTCAGCTATGAATGCCATTTTTGTTTGGTTGATTTGAATGGTTAACTGCTATGACAACCATTCTAATGTCTGATCAATTGGAGTACAGAGTCAGAGTAACTAAAGAAGAGTTTTATTTTTTCGTTTTCCTATTATTTTTTTCCTAAATCAGTCTCTTAAATTTTTCTGCACTTCCACATCTGACTTCACCATTTAACACAATTTTGTTTTTGATTGTGTTCTATTAGTAGGACAGGTCTCAGAGGTACGCAGTTGTTTCTAATTGATCCCTACTGTCACAATACAATGATGATGCTCAATTTGGACCAAAGGTAGGGCTATATAAAAGTACTATTTGCACACTTTCCTATTCATGTTATTCAGTGATGAAATTACCACAGTTTTTATAGTAACTAACAATTCAAAACAAAATATAGTTTCACACCTTCACCCCTATAATACACTATTTTCTATGTTATAATGTTGTTTCCTCATCAGAAACATACCTGGAGTTGTTTTGTGTTGTGTTTCAGTCATAGGAAGTGCCCCACTGTGTTTTTAAACTCCATAAACCTTCACTGGAATCATTTGAGTAATTTCAGCCCTTGAATTCCCAATCTCCACTGAACAAAAGGTTAAAAAGCAGCTGTAAACTTGAAAACTACCGCTTCATGATTTCACACGATGGAACAGAAAAATTTAAGCTTTGGAGATGTAGACAGACTAATAATAAAGGGTTAAACAAAACACAATTCCAGGTTTGTTTTGGTTGTGGGAACAGCATTTTAACATGAATTAAAGCTCACAAGAGTCAAGTCTGTGTAATATAGGACCTTTAATTAGCCTTAATAAAACAAAGAAAAACTTGATTCATAATGAGCAAATTGTTTATTAATAGCTAAGAATAATTTAGTAAATAAGAAGTTGTGGTAGGCCATTAATTAAGCTTAGTTACTTCTTAATTAAGGGGTTAGGGTATTAATCAGCAGCTATAAAATGTCACCCAAAATATATCTTTTGACATGTGAAAGTGCTCAAAATGGCACCAGTAAACAGGAAGTTTAAACCACGAATAAAGGTCAGGTTGTCTGCCTTAAGCCAACTCTAACCAAGGTTTCTTCAGCTCTAATTCTTGTGCTTCTTCTTCCATCTGTCGTTCTTTTTTCTCCATTTTCTGTGCCAACCTTTACGGATCTGCTTACAACAAACATGTCCCACTGCAGCACCCAAGGACACCCAGAGCATACAGCAGAAGACAGGGACCCGATGCCAGCTACACACACACCCACCCACCCGTGCACCCACACATGAACAGTGCATCAATGGAGAAGAGGGACATAGGTGCTGCCTGGACCATATGGAAGTGTCTATAGTGGAAAAGATGGGTTGGGGAGGGGGGGCTAGGAGGACAGTTGACACAGCACAGATGCTACATGACCACACATATGCACATACGCACACACACAAACACACACAGACACACTCACACAAGCGCAGACACACACATATACACGCACATACAGAGAGAGGTAATGAGGGAGCAGTGTGCAGACTGGTGAGCCTCCTACTGCCTTATGGTCGGGGAGTTCGCTCGGAGAGTTGTACACACACACACACACTCACACACACTCACACACACACTCACACACTCACACACACACTCACACACTCACACACACATAGGCACTGCTGCGTCCAACCTTCATTTATTCACTTTACCAAATGCCACCAGTGACAGCACCGGTTTTTTTTTTTATAATAACATGGATTTTCATTACTCAAATTGTAATTTATTTTTGACGATAACTGGCTTCAGATGCATTAGTGTGACCACCTGTGTTATCTATATATATGTATCTATCTTGTCTGGGATCCAGAATACTCACTTCTCCAATAATTAATGGAAATGTAAGAATCACCCAGTTTTCAGATGGGCATGATTGACAGGAGGATTAGCCAATCAGGGATCTGTATGATCTGTCCGTATCAAAACAAATATGGCTGCTTATGAGGAAAAAAGAAATAAAAAAATATCACAGGGGACTGAAAAAAGCGCATATTTCTGCAGAATCAATAAACAATCAACTAAACTCATCTGATGTGAGAGTTGTAAATAATAGATGGCCGATGATTGCACAATCATGCCATGTTTGGTTGGACTCCTAATGTAACGGAGGATGTGGGGACCAGACTGATCTATCTGTATTAAAAATACAGAGAAATATTGTTTAGTATATGCTAAGCAACCTTGTCCTTCGTTCCTCTTATTTAGAGAATGTTTTTTTTTTTCTCACAAATAAGTCAAGCCTTTATCTGTGTACAGGCTTTCAGGGTCGTACATAGGCACAAATTGCTATTCCAATCTCTCTGTGCATTATGAAAAATTTGAACTCAGTGTTCCTTATGTTTTGTTATTAAGATTCACAAGGCTATAGTTGCATGATACTTTTTCAGAACATAGAATTGCTAAGTTTCAGATTACATCCTAACATAATAACATTCCAGGCCAATAATAGTAGAAACATCAAGGAAAATGAATAAAAATGCTATTTATGCATGTAATATACTGAGTTATATGGTCTGGTCTCTAATAGAAACGATCAGCCTCAACTTTTGTGAATTCACCTTTTAGATATTTCAAGGTGAAGTACTATATTATCAACAGGGAAAAGTAGATCTTGATCCCCATCTGCGAGTATGGTCACATCCTAGAATCTGAAGATCATGCCAATATTGATACTTTAGAATGACATCATGTTGGGGGTGTTCTTTGTGTATCTCTATGGTGGAATGTTCAGCAGTTACCATGAAGAAACAATGCACAGATTAGCAAACACTATCAAAAATGTGTTAAGATCATCTAAAAACGCAATAAAAAACAAATACTAAATAGATTTAAACTATCATTTGCTGCTTGTGACCATTATAAGGGTTCATGACTCTTTTTAAGTGTTTGATTTTCAACAAAATGATGAGAGTGACTAAATGAAAAACTGCTGGCTAATGCTCGGTAGCCTGTGAATGTCACTTTAAGCCCGAGAGACTTGTTTAACAGCACAAATAAACCCACCTGTAGTAGTTCCAACTAAACCAACTCTTTCTCGTCAGACTGTGTTAAAGTAAAGATTCAAGTCTAACAAGCCTCAGACAGAGCAGTCTTCAAACTCAAGCATCACACTCCCAGGGAATGTTGACGACATCAGCTGCAAAGTATGAATTTTCAAGCAAGTTACAGCCACATTTTACATTTTTTTGATATATTTGAACACCCAGATCAAAGCTTGTATATTTGATGATGTTTTTGCTCACTGATGTTGCAGATCTTTAGGTACAGAAGATGATTTAGGTTATCTTTTTCATAAGGGATATTTATTAAGAAACCACACAAAGTTAAAACAGAGTCACAATGGCTCCCCTGCTCTCCACTACTGGTACTGTTAAGAACTGAAGTGTCATCAAACAATCAGTCAATCAGTTTAATCAGGTATAATGGGGTGTGCACAAATTGCAATCACAGTATATCGTATAGTTTAATTTGGTGATACAGTATCAATATCGTGAGCTGCTGTGTCAATACATTGCCAAAAGTTTTTTTTTGTTTTGTATATTTTACAAAATTATTTTGTAGCAGCAAACTTGAGATAGCAAACTTGTTTATGCAATACATGCCCAGACTGTTTTGATGAGTAAAAGGAATGTTTTTCATATAAACTTTGCACACACTTAGTGGTTTAATTAAGACTTTTAGCATTAGAGCCATGATTTATTTAGCCTTTGTTTTTTTACTGAACCGTATCAAATCGATGTGAAATATATTGCATCGAATCGAAGTGAGTTGAAAGTGCCCTGTATCGAAAGACGTATCATATCATGGCCTGTGTATCGAGGTGTGTATTGTATTTTCTTAATGATACCCTGCCCTAATGCATAACTGTAAATTAATTAATCACTTCTCTGTCTGTCAATCATGTCAAAATAACTGAAAATTCCCATGTAGAAAAACCCCAAAAATTCCCATGTCAAAAAACATTGAAAATTCCCATATCAAGAACCCCCTGAAAATTCCCATGTCAAAATAACAGAAAATTGCCACGTCTCTCACATTTACCTTTGGAGGCCTCAGTTCCCAGGGGCCCGCTGTTGTCAGTCAGTTCAGGTAGCCATGCATCCTTCACAGCAGACTTGTACACCATACGGCTGTCCAGACTCTGAATGGGCCTGAAGTTACTGCGCAGGTACTCCACACTCTTCACATGGTCCTGCTGCTCCGTGGTGAAAATCGAGTAGAACGCTTCCAACTGAAAACACAAAACGTTTTTGAAGATGTAAATATTATGCTCTTCTTGCGCTCTGATCTGTTCTAATGTTGTTTCCTCATCACAAAAATCCCTGGAGTTGTGTTTTGTTTCATTCATACACGTTTAACACACAAACCCTGCATATTTAAGCTCTTCTCTCAAACACAAAGCACTCTGTTCTACTTTGTGATATCATGTAGTAATTCAAAATGTGCTCCACTGTGTTTTTAAAGTCCATACACCTTCACTAGAATTATTAGAATAATTTCAGCTCTGAAAGTGCCCATTTCAACTGAACAAAAGGTAAGGAGTAGTTGTTAATTTGAAAACTACAACTACATGACATCACAAAGTGGAACAGACCATTTTGAGCTTTGGAGATGTAGACCCACTAACAATAACAGATTACTCGAATATGTGTAAATGAAACAAAACACAACTTCATGTATGTTTTTGAAGAGGTAACAATTTTCTAAGACTAAATTATACATAATATACACATTTTTAAATGTGATTTAATAGAAAAATATCAAGTAAACAATAAAGTTGAAACTACGCTATACCACTGATAGTAGGGATGGGCGATATATCAGTTCCAATATCGTTATAGGCTGCAAAATTGGTCGAAATTTGGCAAAGATATTTCACCAGCACTACCCCAGTCTCTCTGTGTGCCCATGTGTCATCCCCACTTTGTCCTTGGTGCATCTGATGTGTTTTTTGAACAGAGTAACACACTTCAAAAGCTGAAACTGTGATACCGCTGAAACTCAGAAAAGTCTATCACAGCAAAATATAAAGCTTAGATATGGAACTTTTCAAAAATCACTGATAGCCCCTTGCCACCTTGAGAGCCACCAATATGTCAAATTTTGGCGCCTGGCCCATGGACTATAATGAGAAAAATGGAAATAGAAGAGAAATTGCAAGTTTTAAATAAGGCTGTATCATCAGATCAGACAATCATGCAACAAATCATTTTACCTGAAAAAATTTAAGATAAAAAGGTTGCTTCGCACAATGTTTTTCTGAAGCCTTACATAGGGAACGCATAATGCTCATTAAAATAAAAAAAAAAAACAGAAAGACTCCCACACTCGGTCAAACTTGCAAAAAGTGATCTTGGAGCAACATTTCAGCAACTTTTTTCTTGTCTAATGAAGATCTAGTTGCCAAAACACTGTTCCACTGTACAACAACTCACTTTTATGTATGATGAGCCTATGTCCTGTCAATCATCATATCACTGCTGCACTGTCTTCCTATGACCTCTAGTATAAAGCTGTGATTTTATTTTATTTTAACTTGTACATTTACGTTTGTAAAATTATGTTTTAATTGACAACTGTCTCTTGCTATCTGTTTTGCTACTTATTTAGAATTTATTACCATTTATATTTTTGCTCTTTGTTATTATATTATATTGTGATGCGTGAGCTACTGTGTCCAAATAATTTCCCTTGTAGATCAATAAAGTTTGTCTAAGTCTAAGTTTATATAAAGAAAATTTTTCCAAGTTATACAGAGTGCGGGAGTCTTTCTATTTTTGATAAACCTGATAAATTAATGCTATTAACATACATTTTTTAATAAAAGTGAAATGTTAATTTATGATCTTTACTTCAGCTTAAGAAAAATATAATGGTCTTGCTAGGGATTTTCATTTTCATATCAGTTCATATCACTTATACACTAATACACCAACTCTAAAGCAGTTAAATTACGCAAATCCTTTTGTAAACATATAATATCATTAAAAATACTAGCTACGATAAATAAACTGCATAAAAGAAATACTCAAATACGTATTTAATATCTATAATGAGTCATAAATGTCAATTATTCAACCCCCTTTAGCTCAAATCTTATGATAATACAAAACATAACACACAATTCCTCACAATTACAAAGAAAAATACTGACCCCTAAAAAACACTGTAAACAAATTTTCCTGTATTGAACGATGAGCAGATACAGTAATTATTTTGACAGACCATATACACACATGAGCAGTGGGAACTTACACAATTGACCAAAATGTTGCACGAGAAAATAATGAGGATTTCATCACTTATTTTTGTGGGCTGGTTTCCGCTAATTGTTTCCACTGAGAGGTTTGAGTTAGGTCAGTTAGAAAGAGGGAATAAGCAGTAGAATGAATAAAATGTAAGTGTTTAAAGGTGCACTGTGTAACTTTCTGGTAGAGGGTCTATTTCCAGCTTGTTTCTATGGCTATTGTATGCCACGGTTCTGCCTGGAATGTTACACAGTATGACATTAAACTGCTCTATTTTATATTTATTCAATTATAGGTATTTTTATTGCTCATATCTACAGTAGAAAAACAGAATTCTGATTGAACGGGGTTGCCTCTCCACAGATCTGACCTGTAACTTGGTCTGGTTTGGTCTCCATGAAGATAGAAAGGTTCAGTATTATACCATGAAACATTGTAGACGAACCAATACCATTTACCTAAAGAAAAGCATTTGACGGACCCTCTACCAGAAAAGTTACACAATGCACCTTCCAGTTTGATTATGAAAATTATTATTTTAAAAAATCATCATAATTGAAGCTACATTACATCATGTTTAAACCACAAAGGAGGAAGTGTAGGGCCCATAGTACGCTATTTTCAGATTTATGTTTCCTCATCACAAACATGCCTGGAGTTGTATTTTGTTTCATTCACACATGTTTAACACACAAACCCTGCATATTTAGGCTGCCTTCTTCTCTCAGACTGAAAAGACTCTCTTTCACCTTGTGATGTCATGTGGTAATACTCTAGGTGTGTCTTTGGTGAGGCAACAACATCATACCATAGATCAGAAAATAGCATAATATGGGCCCATCATGGTGTGGAACTATCAGTCTTATCTCACAATAGGCTCTATTCACACTTACGTCACAAACCAGGAAGATGTCTGAAAAGATGCGATTACAACTTCCCAGGCCCAGTTTTCTTCATCTCCATGTCATTGTAGTGTTCTGTTACGTTCGGCGAATCAACAGTTACAACTATACCTCAGTTTTCATAATTTCCCCACTGACACACAACTCCGAGTGCACTGGGTACATGCAATTAGAAGAGATGAGGGCGCATAGTCAAGATGATTCAAAACAGCACATATGTACTCAGTCTTCATTGTACTGCTGATGTCATTTACTTCAATGGATTTTTACCACAGTTGGTTTTAACAGATCCACGTTAGGTAAGCCCAGTGTCTGTAACTACACTGAAAGTTGTAATTGCATCTTTCCAAATGTCTTCCTGGTTTGTGATGTAAGCATGAATAGAGCCTGTTGTCCTGGTTTTGCCCTGGTTTGATTCCAGTTTAGTCCTGAAGTAAATTTGAGTTTGATTCTGTCCAGTACTAATTTGGTCCTAGTCTAGGCCTGGTTTAGTTCCTGGATTAGTTCCTGGTTTTGTTTAGCCAGGCTGGCACCACCTAGCGCCTCCACTCAATTTCATTTCTCTCCAGTGACTAGGTCAGGAATCGGAATACATTAGACAGTTTGCAAGAACCCCGGAAGTTGTAGACCGTGCACTTACCAATCAGCGAAGAGCTGTGAAGCCATGTCTGGGTCCTTTTTGTGTTGCAGCACAACAGTAAACAAAGCAGTAGAGATGGTTGTAGACAAAGCCATTCCTTCTGTGTTGGGAACGATTCCCGAGAATTGAGAATTTAAAGCCGGAACAAAGACAATGTTCTGTGAATTTTATCAGGGGGAAAGACGTTATTTCCCTTCTTCCAATGGGACTTGGGAAAAGCTTAATATACCAGTTAGCCCCGTTAGTGGTGCATTACATATGTCATGACCAAATAGCAGCGATTGGTTAAAAAAAAAGTACTTGCCTACCATCGAGCGAACTATGCTGTGCGGTCAGACAGTTTCCATGAAGTGAAACTGGCTGATGAATCAGGCTAGGTTTAATCCAAAATTTGATGTAGCTCTTGTGTGCAAGTATGAACACTAACAATTTTGTGACAAGTGGATCTTAAGAAATCTGTCTCCTCTTTACACCATTGGAATCATTTAAAAGCAGAACTTCCCAATTGTAGCTGTCTCCAAAAAACACAGTGACTGATTTGTATTGGTTTAGCATTTAATGAAAATCCCCCCTAAATAAACAGTGGGACTTGGTGGATTTGCTGGTAGCGTTAGCAGTGTGTCAGTTGGATGGTGGACTTGGCCTGTTTGTGGAGCTGTTGGTTGGAGACGTGCTGTGCAACTGTGGAGAAGCAGACATGGATTAGCGCAGTGTGAGTGGAGTGTGGTCTCCGTGGTAGCTGGCACCAGGCTCCGCGGGCCTGTGTGGAGAGCTGGGGGCAGAGCTATAAACACGCACAGTAAATATAGGACGCACTTTTACGCCATGTGGTAGCGTTCTGTGCAGTTTGAGCGAATCTGTTCCTAGCAAAAACATGTTGCAATGTTAGAATTTTGTAGTTAGAGTGAAAAAGTTAAGTTAAAGGTGCAGTGTGTAACTATTCTGGTGGTGGGTCTGTCAAATGCTTTTCTTAATGGAAATGTTGCTTGGTCTGGAATGTTTCACAGTATGGCATTAAACATTTCTATGATAATGGAGACCAAACCAGACCAAGTTACAGGTAAGATCTGTGGAGAAGCAACTCTGCACACAGCATACCAGTGTTTCTTTGTATGTTTGAGCTATAAAACCACCTGGAATTGACTAAATGTAAGGAAGAGCTTTTCAATGTCATACTGCGAAACATTACAAGCAGAGCAGTGAAATGTTCATAGAAATAAGCAGGTAACGGATCCCCAACCAAAAAGTTACTAATGGTGGAGGTCCAAGAACATTGCCTAGCAAAACACACTGACACGCTCCTTTTCCTCGGATGGTACAAGTTGGAACTCTGAAGAGCAAGAGCAAGATTTCTGAGATAGAATCCAAGATGCCCAGTGTCATTTGTAGTAGGAACTGTTTGCATTGTGTTTGGACGCTTTGGTAGCCTGATTCATCAACC